GTAGGGAAAACAGGAGAGACATTAAACACCAAGATTTAATAACTTATAGAAACAGTCAAAATTGACTATTTACCATGATTTACACCTTAATAAGAAAACCATCCATCAACTTCTGTAGAGAAGAGGAAGGGTGAAGAACAGGATGGTGTATCTCACGTTGGACACATGCTAGTCTGAACTCTGGTGCACAAGAAGGACACGAGAAGGCACAGGGTCTTCTCTTGAAGAATTAACTTGCTTTACCGGTTTGTTAGGAGAGTTAGAGGCCAGGGGAAAATTAATGAGTGGAAAGCAGCCAGGAAAAATCTAGTTCAGTTTATTTACTAGGAACAGCATGAAACAAACTATTCTATTGACCCTCCACTGCTTCTTGGTGAGATTTATTGTAAGCCATGAGCAAGTTCGACGTGAGTCTTGGAAAAAAGTGTATGAAATAAGCACCAAATAAAATGAGCAGCCAAATTCCTAGCTATTCCATCTACTGACCTTAACATTTTTGCTCACTAAGGCCCTTTATTCCAAACAGCAGTTCTGAGAGAATCAAGACTGCCAGCTCAATTTTTGCACAGAACTGCTAGGGACAAAGTTAATCCACCTGGATTCTAGTTCGTGCAATGGTTTAGTCTGTTGTTATGTCCTGTTCAGTTGTTTGTTGAAACACATTACATCAGCCTGATTTTAAATGTGACCTTTCCAGCTTAATATTGAAGAAAAGATCACAGAGTGTGTGTTGTTTAAACACATCAAGGCTGAGAAAATAGGAGGGTCGCTTGCCCACTCCTATGAACAACTCCCTAAATCTCCCAAGTGCCCTGAACAGAGCGGGTATCATGCAAGATTTCCTGAAAGGAAAAGACTAGAAGAGCTAGTCTGTGGTTAAACAGTCATCCTAAGTGTCCTTGACTTATTTTTTTCTGATTTCTGATTGTTCTGTCTTTTCTAAAAGATGAAGAAATTAAACATCCTTAATGTGCTTAAAAGCCATATATACTTTCATACAGTGATAGGATAAGCCTTATCCTTGTTAAAGAAAAAGGCCTTGGAATAATGCAAAGGTATGGTATTACCTGCTGGAGTTTGTTGAACACTGGGTTGCTCAGCTGTGTGGGAGTGTGTCTCCCTTCCTTCTGGCAAATTCTTGGCTGTAAATAAAAAGAAAAATAAATGCATTGGTCATAAAATTTGTTAATGAATCTCTAGAAAATGTCTGCATTTTCAGAGGTGGCATATTCAGTTCACTGAGCTGCTACATTGCACATCTTGAAAGCCAATGCAGAATCCCTGAAGAGTGTTGCATTTCATGGATGTATCTAGGATTATTCACTTCAGATAAAACAGTATCATTAATTTTCCCTGAAGTTCATTCTGACTGGTAAAACATGAATTCACGAGAACAGAAAACGAGTTATTCTGAGCTAAGCAGGAAGGCAGCTCTCTTACAACTTAATCCTTTGTAATATAAGTAGCAAAATAATAAATAGGAGGTTTTGAATTCTCCTCTATTCCCTGCCACACATATGCAATTATCATTTGCCTACAGTAGTGTTCTGCAATTAAATCATAACAGAAAAGGGAACTGAATGAAACCTACAGGCAGAACAGTGAGACATGGGCATCTGTTCTATCCTCGTATTATTCCTGCACGATGCTACTTCCATCTGGCAATGGTTCGGGTAAATCTGTCCATCTGATCCACACACAGGCTCCCCATCATAGCCACAGTCTCGCGAACACATGCACTGCTCAAAATACTCATCCTCCAAGCAGCCAAAAACGTTATTGCATGGTCCAGAGTGAACAAACCCTGAAAAGTAAACAAAAACATCCAAAGCAATTTTTTTGCATAGCATGGGTAAGGGGAAGATGGAGAAGCAATTTTCTACTGTTTCTCTGATGTAAGTTTTCATGTTTTATCTGACAGAAGACAGGAAGGAATGTATAGTTTCTGGGGAAAGTGACTCCTTTCACTGCTGCATGAAATTGTTCAATCTTCCTGCAGGTAAATGTGGAGCTCTACTACAAGATAATTTTAGAGAAAGAAAACCAAATCGCATTTTAAAGAGTTTTTACCTTTATGCTTATTAACACACCTCACCTTGTGCAGGTTCTTCCAGAATTATACATTTTTATCTTGTCTCTGAAGCAAATAATAGTCGCTTTGGAGACTGAAGAGCAGACTACACTGGTCTGTTTGGCTGTCAGAAGTTTCATACCGCTATCCCACAGACCTTTGCAAAACTTCCACTAACACAGAGTGAAATGGAGCATTTTTCTAAATATAATTTTGAGCTCTGAACTCCTGGAAAGTATGTCTGTGGGCTCCATTTTCCAAAAAAATCTGCTTGGCTTTGGTGCAACTTACCAACCCATTGGCTAGCTGAGCTTTCCACCTCATTGCATGTTGGCCCATCACAGAGCTCCCGAGCCAAGGGACTGTTTTCACTCACGTTGTAGAAACGAGTCGCTTCAAAAGCTGCAGGCGAGCAAGAATGAGAAATCACAACTGAGTTTTGTGCCTGGAGCATTAATGTTGGTGAAAATAATAAAAAAAAACCAACCTAAGCACATACCTGGCTCATAGTAATCATACACTTTGATAGGAACAGGAGCTGTCTTCCCAACTATATGTTCTCTGAACGCTTGAAACTTTACACAGGTCATGCACTGGCTAGGAATCTGTATGAAATGATGGAAAAGACTCATTGTAACAAAACCTGCATTTTAAGTGAAGAGAGACATAAATAAACTTAGTGTTTGTCCCTCATGTAATGTGTTGTGCTGGACAATTGGGGAGAAAGAAGACATCTCCAATGGTAGGTGTAGAGACAAAGATAACGAATAAATGCCAAACAGGATTAATTAAAACATGATACTTTGTCAGTCTTTAAAGCACATACTTGCCATACAACAACAGCAAACCTGAAACTCAGCTGTTTTCCCTGGCTTACCTAACACCATTCCTGTCATCAGTCAGTTTGCTAATGCAACTCACTAACAATTTACTGCTGATGACCAAGTCAAGAGAGATCATATCTTCCACTCTCAGGTACATGCTATGCCCGATCCACTGGTCATTTGCCTTTCATAGAAAAGAAGCATAATTATAAGAAATAAAGTCATTACCTCATCAAAATAAAAAAGGACTTTTCTTCCATCCACTTCATATCTTTTTAATCCAATTTGCTTGTTCATCAATAACTAGTGGAAAAAAACACAGATTTAGTTTCAAATCATTTTATAGAAAACAGTTTGAAATTGGAGAAGAAGAAAGATTTTGGACTGCTTAGAAACCTGATTAGACACTAAAACCCAGGGATTTCTTCTGCTGGAAAAGGATGTTTCAGTAAGAGAGAGGGGAAATGCAAAGAGGATTGCAACTGCTGTCATACAACTGAGGAAAGGATCATCTGTGTTCTTTTCTGTGACCTGGTGAGAAATGCTTGCAAGGTGCACAATGCCGAGTGTTCTTCCTGGTCCCCAGTGCATTTATTTCCCTCAGCCTATGCCTGATATATCACACATAATCTAATTGAATAGATCCCGATTGGTTTCAGTACCAAGGCTCAAGCAAGACCTCAGGGACCCCCAAAACACTTGATAAACTCTCCTATTTAGACTCCTTCAGCCCGCCAAGGAATTACTCTGCTGGGTCACGCTGGGTATTAAAGGTCCCCAGGTCCCCTTCTCCCACCAGCTGAAAAATCCAAAACATTCTTTTGCCAGGAAAATTAATCCTTACATTTGAAAAGAGCAGCCATTTGAAAGAGCCCTAGGCATCCTCCCTTTTGACGAATGGGGTCAGGCCAGGCCTCTGCTACTCATCTTCTCTCCCTCTGAGGCCCAGGGATTTGCAATTTGCATTGTACCAGTCAGGCCCACAGATTGCCTCTTCTTATGCTTTCTATTTATTAGGACAATCTGCAATGCCAAGCAGTATCAGAACACTAAGAGTGTTCTTCTCACATCTGGGGTGTAACTGCCCCTAATATACCCCAGCCGTTTGTAAAAATGCTCCAGCTCCTCTCCCCATGCTGCCTGCAGGTCTGTCTGTCTACCAGGATCACAGACTTCAGAGGAAAGTGCAAAAGCCCTCATTTACAGAATTACTGCACCACCCCAAAGGATCCAGTAACTATCTCCCAGCTATAGAATGCTAACAAATCACCACCAAAATATAAATGCTATCATCTGACATAATTCTACAAATTGTTACTTTAAAGTTTCCAAGAGTTACTCCTATGATTTTCCATATTCGGAATGATAACATCTCAATATTTTAATGATTGCCATGCTCTGTGTACTTGATCAGTTGATCAATCATTACCGTTTTGATAAATTCTATTCAGAACACATCTATTGTGTGAGAAACATTTAATCTAGAAGCTGGGGAGGATGGTGGTCTGTAGAAAAGACTCTTGTGTTTTAATCCCAGTTTTGGGAGCAGAATAAGGACCAGAGCAGCTACCCTAATTCTGTTTTCCAAACTTCCCTGTCAGACAATCCTGTTTGTGACATAGGGATAGCATTTCCTTACTTCATTTTTTGTTAATGTTCCTAAGTAATTTTGAGAATCTTAGAATGAAATCTCTGTGGAAAGCAAAAAGAAGCATTATTATTATGATGATGCATTAGAAAGAATGACATGGGGCAAAAAGCATTTCTACTGAAATTTGCCCAAACCTGCTACCAACAGCTTTAACTGTGAATTTCTTCAGCACAGCGCTTCTAGCTGTAAAACTCTGCACACAGCTTCCTGCTATTACTGTAACAAGCAAAGGAACATGTGTTTAAGTCCCACACAATATGGAAAGGGCCAATTTAATTTGTCCTTATAATTTTAGGGGCCTGATGGTGGCTGTTATTACTCAGCAGTAGATGGCTGCAGACAGTCCTTTTATGAGGGCTCGGAGAGGCTGGCGCCACCGGGAAATGCTCAGCTCAGCTAAAGTTGCATTTTTCTGGTGAAGCTTGATATATACCAGCCTGGGGTGACCTCCTGACCTTGTCGACACCCAGCATTATTAGGAGGATTTGTGGCTGCGCAGCCGGGGGGCTGCCCTCGACGTGCAACAGAGCGTTCATTAACCATCACTGCCCCAGAGCTGCACGTGGGTTCGCTCCGTGCACACTGCTCCCTTGTGAGGGCAAACAACAAACAAGGAAATCTGATTTACAGCCCTGCCCCTCCTCACCAGAAGGAGGAGAGGAAAATGGCGAGGGTAACAAGAAAATGCAGCAGTGGGAATGATAAGGCTCACCTCTGCTGAAGGTGGTGCCCAAGATACAAAACAAAACTAACACTGGGTCTTCAGTGGAAGAATTTCATTTTTGTCAGCGTGATATGGATACACATTTGATAGCCATAAATAAACCACAGGGGTTGTATCTGCATCTTCACTACCTACGTAGTAGGTAGCTACGTAGTAGCTTTGTCCCTACGTTTCATTTTTACAGATGCAAAGGGTTTCTGCAGTGAGAAAGATGGAATTCAGCTCTTCAAGCGGAACATTCCCCCTTGAAGATACAATAACCTTCCCAATTTAGCAAAATCTCCTACTTCCCAAAGGAAGTAATTCCATTCTGGTTATGGAAATGGAGTGCCCAGTATTGAATCCTAAGTGCAGAATCCTCTCACTAAATCAAGGCACCAGCTACATAGTTTTTTGTCCAAACAGCTTTCAAAATGGTGGGTTTTGAACCAGCTCTTTGATACCTGACAAGCACTGGAGAAGCACACACTGCACGAAACACCTGACATCTTTCTGAGATTTGCAAGGACTTCACTCAGATCAGCTCTGTGTTGCAGGAGCTCAGCCTTCCCAGTGAAGAAAGGGAACCAGCTCCTTTTCCCATTCAGACATGGGGAGAAATGAAAACAAATCACCTGCTGTTCTGTGCCCAGAGACCCTAACAGATGGGGCTACACTGGGACTCTGTGGGCTTTTCTGCCCATAACGGCAGGAACATAGGATTCAGGCAGGTGGGAAGATGCCACAAAGAAAAGAAAAATCATCTCGTCTGCTTAGTGCTAGAGAAAGCCTCACCTGGATTGTACGCACTTGAAGAGGAGCATATTGCTCTTTTTCTCCAAGAAAATGCAATGGTGTTTATATTATAAATTAGCCAAATCAAGTGAAATCCTAGAGAAGAGAAAGCAATGCGCGCTTTTCCTTAAATTAGGATCTCAAATTAAACTGCCTGGTCTTCACTATGATTCTACTTTAAAATTCTTCCCCAAATCTCTCCCTCTTCCAGCACAATGAAGATTAAGTTATTAACAGAAAAGATCTTTTGGAAGCAAAATACACTTTAGCTCTTTACCAGTTCTCAAGCATGGAAAGATTTTACACCTCTTTAGTTCAACAGTCCTTAAAAACTATTTGCAGCATAAGAAACACCCGTGAATACACTGTAATGCTTCCACAAAATATAAAGCAAAGCTCAAGACTACAGTTCATCTCCCCTAGAGGGCTGGCTGGGTAAGAGACACATTCTGTCCACCTCAGTTTGGCTTGCAATAAACATGATGTTCTCCCAGAAAAAAAAAAAAAAGAAAAAGAAAAAAAAAAGGCAAAAAATTCCAAGACACAGAGCCTCCAAAGAAATGGAATCCAGATGTTGGAGATAACACAGCCCACTAAGCAGCCATAAACAGCTCCTGTTAGAGCACATTTTCACTTCAGCATTTCCAAATGGGTCTCATTTAATTACCGTGCACTGTGCTCACTAAGAAACCTTCGTTTGGCCACGTTCAGTAGATTTGTTAATCTTGCTCAGAACATCTGTTTACTCGTTTCAGATAAATATTTTTTGACAAGTGAAATCTCCTGCCCCCCTAATTTTAGCTGCATCTTTTTGGACAGTGCTCTAACATTCAATGGCATTTGCTTCCTATTGCTCCCCAAAGGGAATCCATGCCAATTAGAGCACCGGCTCCTGGCCCAAAATCATGCCTTGCGCTCTCATTACAACATCTTACCTGCTCTAGGCTCTCAATATCTGCACGAAACCCCGAGAACAAGGGCACTTCCAAGACAGCCATGTTAGAAGATCCAGAGTGAAGCCACCTTCCCATGAGAATAGAAAGAGAGAAAGAATTAAAACAAACTCCGGATCCAAGGTAACAAATGATACATGAACAACTCGGGATGGAGAGAAACTGAAACAAACTTCAGAGAAAAAAAAGTATTAAAAGGCTCTACTCTTCTTTGAGGGACTTGCTGAAAGCCACAGTCCACTTGGTGTTTACAAAATCATTTTTTCTGCTTTTATTGAACAAAAATTAAGCACAACTTAGAGGGCAGATGCAGGAGATGACCAGGCAAATGAGGGCAGAGAAGCAGAATGAAGGATGTAGTCTCCTGTAGGGCTGCTTGCATTATATTTCAATTAATCACAAAAAAAATGCACTTGGTAAAAGGAAATAACCCCTTAGAGTAGAAGAAACTTCTGTTCTTTCCTAAGTGGAGGGCTGTAAATGGATTGTGGTCTAAGAGGAATGTTACTTCCCAATACCAGTCAGAGCCATTTAACCCTGGGGTTTCGTAAATGGCCATTTCCCTCCAGCATCTAATTGACACTGAGAAAAGTATCTTTGCTAATGAGTCAGCAAACTCACTCTCTAGTTACTAAAGAATTCATTGCCTATATCGTCCTCTATAACATCAATGAACACTCCAAAAAACCACTGAAATTCAGAGTTCTTACTACTGAAGCGTGCATAAAACAAACACAAAAAAACCACAGGAAGGGGTAGAGAGAAAGTTTATTTGGGCCATTGCGAAATATTTCAATTTCTTGCAGCATGGCAGCAGAGTTGACATTGTAACAAAAAAGCTCCTGCTAATTCCAGAACAAGGCTCCTTTTCTCCTCATTCCCATACAGTCAGCTCTAAACTATCCCTCCTTGGCACCTCACCTGTTTGCTGTTTAGTTGCACCACCAAGACAATGAGCTTGGACCCAGGAGGGCTTCTTAGCTCATGCCCAGCACTGAGAAAAAACAGTACACAGCTTCCAGGGTCAAATTTGCCAGATCTGAACTGGCTCCTGCAGCGTTATTTGGAGGCAGAGACCTCCCCAGCTAGGGCAGGTGGGTGAGTTTGCTGGAGCTCTGCACAGAGCCAGCCTGGATATAATGTCACACCCAAGCTCATACGCCCACAGTAGCATGAGGTGGTCTCTGGATGGATCCAGTTGGCTCTGTGTAAGACAGGTCAGGGATGGCAGCCTGCCAGAGATGTTAAATCTTGTTAATCACGCACCATACTCCTTAAGAAATCCTGTAGTATCTCTTTACCTACATTTTTCCCCACTCTGTTATTTCAGTTCTCTGTTTCCCATACTGTTCTCTCCTTAACTACTCAAAAATGCCCCAAGGACTTCACTGAGCATGACAATACTAAAAATAATTACATTCTGGAGAATACCCCCAGCTCAAAATATTTCAGTTGTCATCCTTAGATGCACTCCTTTATTCGCATTGCCTAAATAAAATGATGAAGGAGTTAAAAGAGCATCATTACAGGAGGAAGGGGAGGAAAGGGAAGATTCTGTATGCTTTTGTTTTCTTTCCAAGCGATCAGTCTCCTTGGACTGGGCTTCCTCTCAAATTTCTGTCTTTGCTCCAGCAATTCCCAGGGCAGAAGTTTCAGAAATAACAACAGCAAGGTTGTGTTGATGCAGGGCAGCCTCCTTAGTTACAGGCATCTTCAAGAAACTGACAGGACTTTATAAGCCTACCTCCCTGATACAACTGCAGTGGTTAGGGCAGGGGGAGAAGAGGCTGAGAAAGTGATACTGTGTTCTGTACGGCCAGACCAATCCTTGGAAACCGTTGGATGATGAGTTGGTGTTGCTTGTCACTGGCTGTTGTTACTGAAGAATTCAACTAGGCTGGAAAATGCCCAGCTCAGGATTGCCTTGTGACAATCAGAGGCAAAGCATCTGTCAGCAACAGGGCCACACGAGCAAGGGGCAAGTGTGTTAACAGAGATAACAAGATCTCATCTTTGCCTGGAGTCACTGTATGGCTTTGCCTCTGCAGGAAGGAAGGAGATAGAAACTGATAGTGGAGCAAAAGTTTTCCATTTCCACAAATTACATCTGAGCTGTTCACTTGACTTCTGCTTCTTGAGCTCAGTAAAACCTCTAGCCCCACCACTTGCCATGCTGCTGGTCACAAATATGCACAATAGTTACAGATTTCCTGGGAATGGTTTCTTCTGTTATACAGCAGGATGTCGAAAGCCCTTCTTATTTACTTTGGTTGTGGCTTTCCCTCTTTTGAGCCAACTTTCCAACAACCTCCTTAAAAACTAAAATATTTTGCAAAGAGATCAGCAACTCCAGCTGAAATTACCTAGCTCTTTTAGGCTTTTAAGGGAAACCTGTTACTGAAGACCTGATACAAGCAAATGACATTCAAGTTGTCTTCTTCAGGATTTGGAGAGGCAATAATGAAACAGTAATAGAAACTCAAGGTGTTGCCCTCTGTAAATTTTGTTCCTGTTTCTCTACCTTTGACATATACTTAGTATTACAATTACTAACGCCAGCAGACAATGTTGGTGAATGTCCATGCAATAACTATCCTACAACCCACAATTCTGGTTGAAATACTGCATTCTGCATATGAGGTGTTTTGTCTTACACTGTTTGAGATACAGACAGTGCAGCAAGAAAGAAATTGGTATTTCTCCTGTGTTGATGAATGTATCAGAAGAGATGTGCTGATCGGCAAACTAAGCAGTCCCTGAGAAACAGGCAGGACATGATGCAGACTGGTATTTCCTACCTAGTGCACGTCTCCAGTATCACTTTGTATTCCCGATGGTCCTGATCTGAAGCTGGGTCATCATCATCCACCAATGCCCTCTCTCTGTGCAAGGCTTCAGAGCGATTCTCATCTGGAGAGACGGATCGCGGGAGATTTGGAGCTTGAAGATGCTGCTCTGACTTTGGCTCCTTGAGGTTAACCAGGAGCTGGAAGGCTGGCTTGGCAATAGGGTCAGGCACATTGTAAGTGACATCAATCTGCAGCAGAAAAGGGGGCAGTGGGGAAACAAAACAAATTAAGGCACTTTATTAGATAACCTCAATGTTTCAAAGCATCTACAAATGTTTGTCAAAGACCAGCATAAACACCAGATCTCTTCAGAGAGAGGTAATGGCAGGCACAGAAGTGATAGAGGCTTTGCAACACAGTTATATATAGGGTAAAGCTACACCAGAGAAGACTCACCCTAGTACAATCACACTTACTCCTACAAATTAAAACAATGCCAGGTTATATAATTACTTAGAGAGAAATTCAAACTCCTCTCTCATAGCAAACTGAAATTAAAAAAGTAGCAAATAGACAGTGAGTTTTGAGATCCCTGCTCAAATACTTTTTCCAGCCCCAGGGCAACCTTACCTGCATCAGACAGCAGCCTTCCCCTTTGGCACTCACAAACAGCCCCGTTGGAATACTGGGGATCTGGGGAAAATCCAGAGTCAACACATGGCACTCACAATGGAAACAAGTATCAATTTTAGTTTTATTCTGTATAAAATATCTTTCCAGTTAAAAAGGAGACTGCATAAGAGAAGTGAGTACGGCTTACTCCTCTCAGCCACCTGCATTTAACAATGGTAAGAAACAAGCAGCAGCACAAAATAAGTATCAGGCATTAGTCACGGTGAAAAATGACTTGAGTGCTGCCTCCTTCACATCTGAACCCAGCCATAAAACCTCAGAAAGTCCCAAGATCTCAGTGTTTAACTTGTACTTTTACCACTACTGAACTTATCTGAGTTGTCATTCAGAACCCAGCTTAGATAGATCACTTAAAAAAATTAGCTACATAAACACAAAACCACCTACCACTGCAGTCTGGAGGACTTTCTTATTCATCTTGTTAAGCTCAAAGGTCTCCTGGTAGTCTAGATTAGTAGAAGCCAAGGAAATGGTAAGGTTGACTCCTCCAACATAAGAAAGGATAGCATATTCAGCCAGAGCCTGCAGGGCTACACATGTGTCCTAAGGATCAGAAGGGGTAGAGATCAGAATAGTGAAGAATACAGGAGCACAGTAAACCTATAAACAAGTGCTGTGCTGTACAGTCATCAGCTTCTGGTAGCAGAATCTTCCTTATTTAGACATACCAGGTTTTGTTCACTTTTGCTGTCAAAGGCATCTGTAAGGGCAAAGTCTAGGTTCCTTTCAAATTATCAGGCCAAAAAGGAAGCAGTTCAGAACACTGGAAAGTTTTTCTTCTTAACAGAAAACAAACTGTTTCTGTCCAGACTCTAGATGGAAACTCTGCATTGACCATTCCTGAATCAAAATGATTATGCATGCATTGAAGCTACCTTTTTTGGAGGCAGCCCACCTGAGTAGAAGAGAATCCTCCAAGTGCGTTCCTTTGCTGTGAAAGCCATTTTACTACTGGGAGCGCAGATGCCACATCTCCTAGGAGCGTGTATGTCAGAAGGGCATAAGAGGTCATTTCCACTTCTGCAGAAACAACTGAAAGAGGGAGGAGGGGGAATTAAAACCAAACGAAAACCAAACAAGCAAATCATTCAGAAGTGAGAATCTCAGCAGGTCTAGAGATAGTTCTATGAATATTCATTAACTGAAAAAATTTTAAAAAGAGCCTGTAGAAGTAAACACAGGAAGAGAAAAAATGAAGTTAAAAGATGTCTGCACCCAAGATCCACCAACTTCCAAAGACACCTCTGCTTCCAGGACAAGCTGTTTCCTTCACACAATAGATAACCTTCTTACTACTGGATTGTATCCCATAATTTCTCTCCTACTCCAGTTCTACTTTAGCTGCTGCTCATACTGTATTCCTGCCCCAGAGATTTTCATACTACATCCAGTTAGATCCCTCCTGAACATTGCTGCACCTACATCATATTAGAGAGCTTTAAGTGACTTGAAAATTATAGCATCATTCACTGTTGTTGTTGCTTTGATAGTTAAAGTCTAGGAAAACAGTTGAAATGCCAGTGACTGCCAATAAAAACTGAGTATACAATCCCTAGGGCCATTTGAAAACACAAAGCTAAACAGCTCTAAAATTAAATGTATTTGACTTCTCTCAGATTTCCATTTCAAATGATTCCTCCCTGATGGGATCCCATATGGCTCTCACTCTTCTGTATTACTCACTGCTTTGTAAAACTGGAATGAAAAATGGTGAGATAGCTGGGGCTGAAAAGACTTGCTAGACTGCATCTAGCTCTGTCTCTCATTTGCTCTTAACCAGCTCTTTTCCCATAACATTACCTACCTTTTATGAAGATACCGGTAGCTTTTCATCCAGATGCTGTCCTGACTGACCATCATTTTCAGAATATCTTGTATTAAACAATTTACTAGAATATATGGATTTGATGGCCTGCTGTTGCAGCCTATTCCCTTATCTTTGTCTTTGAAGTACAAGTACCTGATTGAGAAAGACCATCATTAAATCCCATGAAGGTATCTTCATCAGTAACAAGAGTTCCCGTCAAGCTCCAGTGTGTAAAGCCATCTAGAAAAACAAGACAGTGGAATATGTACGTTATTACAGCAGGACTGCAGCTAAACCTCTGTATATGGGAAGAATCAAATTCTGCATCAGTCAATTTTGCATTGACTCAAATAACAGATTCATGCCCTGAACTGCACTATACCTCCTTTTAGACAAGCATCCCCTGGGCAAGAGGCTCCCTTTGCAATTACAAAGATGGCTCAGTGTGACAAATCAGGTAATTCTCAGATTTGGGATTAAAATACACCATCAGGGAACGTGATGCATTAACTGAGCCTCTGGCACACTTGCCTCCCTTCAGCATCAGCTGCATGCGGGGAACTAAGGTACTCGGCCCTCTACAGAGAGCAAGGAAAACTTTTGGCTTACAAAGTCAAACTGTGCTGTGAGGAAGATCTCATCTCACAGGCTCCAGTAATGCAAATATATCATCCAAGTTGCAAGGGCTATTTGCTTGTTCCTGGAAGAGGATTGCCAGTCCAGGGACTTGCCAGATTGGCTCCAGGAGTGCGGTACCTTGTGTAATAGCCATGCTGTTCATTTTCCGCAGCGTCACAGCAGCAGAGGGACTGTGCAGCAGTGTCAGGGCATACGCAGTCAAGGCAGTAGTGTAGGGGTCTTCTGCTGAATACAAGTTGGACTCTAAGAAGTGTTTTGCTTTCTCAATAGCTGCTCTTTCTTCCTATATTTAGGGGAAAGAGCCCAGACATATTACCAGCCTCTGTATTTCAGAAGTTAGCATCACTTTACTTCTCATTACTTTGTGTCCATTAAACAAACAAACTAACTAACTAACTAACTAGGAAAGATGCCGTTTGTTCCCTGCAGAATGACACTAACATTTTCCTTTCCCTAAGAAAAGTCCAGCATCACAAATTCAAAAAAAAGAAACAAATAGCACAGCAAGAATGATCTAGACTAACAGTGAGATGCATTTTTTCTCCCCTAAAGCTGAAGAAATTTCATCCCCCTGCAAGGCAGCAGATGAAGAGAGCAGAAGCGAGCTCTCTACTGTAAGTCTGATTGTGTTCCTGACACTCTGGAGCGTCTAGCAGATGCCAGAGGATAATAAAGGCCAAGGTTCCCAGGGGTCCCTGCAGCCAGCAAACATGTTTTATTAACTCCCTCAATGACCTCACCATGTAGGAACGTGGCTCTGATAATTTATAGAAACAATTTAATTGGACTTGATGTAATTTGGTTTCTTTTGATTTCCCTGTGGCACTAACCTTCCCCTTCCCCATTTCCTAGCTAAGATCATTAGTAACACTTGCAAATCTCCTCTAGGAAAACCATTAGATGTACATAAACCGCACTTCCAGCAAATAAAAACGCTAGGGCTGTCTTGACACACTGCAGCCCAGAGAGAGCATCACATCACTTCTCAGAGGGGGGACACTGCTGACTGGGAGGCAAAATGCTACTCCATGAGAATCTCTGTTCTAGTGAAATTGCACACACACAAAAATACAACAGAGAGAAGCACTGTTCTTACCATGAGTTTTAAGAAGAAATTTCTAAAACACCAGTTGTTCTGGAAGTGATTTTTCCTTTTCTACTTCAAAATTTATGCAGTGTAATTGCACGCTCCTACGTAGCTATTTTTTTTCCTGTAGTGTTCCTGTTCTGTCTCATTACAAAGAAGAGAAACATTTTTCTCTAGAGTCCTCAATCCAGCACATTACAGGAGTGCAGCTCTCCAAAGTTACTGTAATCTAATAGCAGTAGCATTTTGGCCACTGTAGCAAAGGCAGACTGCAAAAGTTTTCTGGAGCCCCGAAGTCTATATGGCCCCAAGTTAAACTGCTTAGTTAAACTAAGCTAGGTAAAGATTTTTTTGAGTATATATAGGCAAGCTACCAGTATATCTGCATAGGCTGCAATCTCACCTTGAAATTACAAGGCAGAAAACATATTTTGCAGCTGTTTCTAGGAGAGGTCAGGGATGGGGTTGCAGGGAAATGTTTTGCTGTGGTAGAATAATCCCTGAGCTGATGGCTGAAGGATGGGAGAGCACCATGAATAACTTCAGAACAGATTCCTTGACTTTAGAATAATCTCAAGGCTTTCCAACAGCCTCTGTTACTCAGATGCTATTCGTGTAGTGAGCAGAGCGCCTTTGAAAGTGAACAGCAGTAAAATCAAGTTTTAAAAAAAAAAATTAAAATAGAGAGAATTTTTAGAATATGTAGAATGTGAGAGCTATTTTAACTAAGTTTTGGTTACCTCAGAAGTTACACCTGTTTCCAGAAGAGATGCAACCACATAAGCTGTCAGGGAGATTTTACCATGGATTCCACCCTGTAGGGCAACAAACAGAAACCACTGTATGTAAACTAGAGAAAATGACACTGGATAAAAAGACTCTTGAAGCAAGGCAAAGAATGTAACTATAAGAGAAGCCGTGGCATCACAGAACTTCCTTTCCTTTGACATAAGGAGTACAAAATTTAGAAACCCAAGCCAACATTGTAGCTTCCTTCCCTAGCAATAGCCTGAGAACACACTCAATGCACATCACTTTATACTCGAAGACACAATGCTGTTTTACACAACTTGACATCCTGCTTTCTCATGGGACAGCAAAGATAGGTTCTGATAAGACTTTTTTTAAAATTTAAATTCTCCTTGCTTTTCTTGTACTGTTCTAGCCTTTCAAGTGCAAATTCAAATTAGGCATAAGGAAACTGCATCACTTCATGCTTTGATAATAACTTCAAAAATGCACCTATTGCATGATTTTGAGTCTGTACAGTTTTTACCTGAATGTCTTTATTTAGTATCCTGCCCATAGCAGGAAAAGAACCATCTTCTTTCTGATGCTGAATGATCCAGTCTTTGGCAGTTGTTAGTTCTTTCGGGTCAATGAAAATAAACCCACGAGACTGTGCAAAGGACTTGAGGACAAAAGCTGTTAGCCTGAAAAGACGAATTTATCATCTTTACTGAGAAAACAAATTCAGAATAATGTATCAGTAAGGGAAAAAAACCCATTCTTTGAAAGCACAAATTTTAAAAATCTTGTTGGGGAAACACTAAATATTGCTAAAAAAATAATGGTACATAAAAGCACCTGAACACTGTCTAAGCTTCTGGATAAGAGCAAGATTAAGGATCAACAAATTAAACTGAAAAGTGTAACTGGAAGGTATGTTTGTCTTAGTTATGAAAACTCTGAAATTCAGTTCCCTCTTATAGGTGCTCATCTGCTACCCAAATTTTAAAGCTTTTAAATTAAGTATCAATATTCTTACAAATACAGGATTATTGTAAAGAAAGAGTAAATTTTCCAATTTTGTTAATGTCCTAACTAAAAAAATTAAAATAAATCCAAAACCTATTGCTAAAGTCTGAGGCTGTGTTAGACTTTATACAGAATTAAGACTTAAGAAAGCAACAGAAGTGTTTTTGGAATTCTAAACCTCTGACATGCAACAAGTGTGAACTCTGGCCAGCTTTGGGAGATTGAATCATTCATTTTACAAGCCTCTGAGGAATGGGAGGGTAGGAGGCACACTGCCTGGCAGGGGAGTTTTCAAGTGTTAAGTAATTCTGTGTCACCATATTTTACATCTAGGGACTGGGAGATGCCAGATCCAAGATGAAAGGTTACTATCTTAGAAACAGTGAGACAGCAACATCATAGAAGTGGTTCTTCCCCACAGATGAGTTAGTGAAGAAAATCACTTTAAGGCAAAATACAGAGCAGACAGAAAAGCCAAATGACAGCACAAGCAAATGAATGAAGACCAGAACCTTCTACATCTGAGTCATTATACTCCACTAACATGCTAATGTGATGTAATGTACAACCTTAAAGGCCATTGTATCCTAAGAGGGACATTAGTGAGATAAGCTGATTTCTCAGTTTCCTAATTTCTGGTTTTCATATTGTTCAACTCTGGAAGGTCCTGCACTTCAATTCTCAGGGTGTTAATCCATACCATTCCATTTATATCCTCACGGGAGGATATAAAACACTTGGGAGAAAGACTACTCCAGGTTTTTTTGGGTTGGTTTTGGTCTTTGTTTTCTATCTACCCTGGTAGAAGCCTCTTCCACTTTAGAGACAGCAAGTTTCTCTGTTCATGCTTCAGGTGACATTCCATTCCTTAGGGAGTAAGGTGCTTCAATGCCCCCCATGTATTGCTATTCCAGTTCCAGTAGACCAAATATGATCCTCAACCATAGCTTCTGTGCCTAAACCCTGGACATATTAATAGACGTGACTATCGTAATGGCCTCTGAATCTTGAAACGACTACAATACACCTACTAGCATAGTAGGAACACACAGCAGCATTGAAACAGTAAGTCTACAGTCATTGAGTATTATTTCCATTCTCTACTGTGTGTGATGGAAGCTGGAAAATCACTCTTCTTTCCTTGCCAATTGTGTATTTTCCCATTTAGCAAGCACTGAATTTTCTAACTGTTTTAAATAGCAACTCACCACATACTCCCCGAGGAATCCCTCTCGCCAAAAGCACTGTACGAACCATCTTGTCTCTTGTAGGTCAGCTGGCGCTGGTAGCCTGGAAGTCACAAAAGAATTGGGGGAGTCCAAAATCCTCACACAGAGAAAAACAAGTATTTAAAGTGAATGAAGACTCATATCATCTGGCAATAGTGTAAGGGATCTCTTATTTTGTTGTGAGGGATAAAGCCAGCTCTGTGTACGTACGCTGTAGCTTACTCCAAAGTCTAATCAGGCTAACATCTGTAAGACTCCTATATTTTAGCCAGTAGAAATGTAAAATTTTGATACCCCTCTACAAAGATGCAACATTAAAAGAAAGATATTTACTTTAGCATAAGCCATTCTCCTTCTATTGTACTGAAAGCACCATGCAGGTGAATTTTTTTTTTCCTTTAATGATACAACTGGATTCAGACTTTTCTCCAAAACTGTCACTTGAGACAGCTTAATGCAACATGACAATAACAGCTGTGATCTTCATGTATACAACAATTCCCAGCTACTAGGGCTGCCTTATAAAGCTTGTTTTAGACAACAATTACTAACAGATTGAATGCTGAAGATAAGAATTCTCTACCAGAATGTCTTCTGAGATTGAAAATAAAGACACTCAAAATGCACTTCCTATTAAGAAAAGAATTTGCTTCTCAAACTTTTTTGTCTTACAACCATGAACTGCCCATCCTAGTAAAGCACTCTATACCTCTGTATTGAGGAAAACAGAATACACGCTTTGATAAAGCTCTTAAACACCCATTGGGATCAGACCTTTCAGAATGAGTATTTTTGATATGGAGATCTGTCAAACCTGCAAGAAGACTGTGCCAAAGACATTTAGCGCTTGCTTAATTCTCCGATACATGAACAGACATTTTATTCCACATCCCACGACATTTTGAAGGGAACGGATTATGTTCATCTCTGGAAGCAAAGTTTCTTTGTTGACCTCTCCAGATACAGGCAGCTCCACAATCCCTGAGCAAGGGCTGCCCATGACTCCTACACTTTCTCCTGGTGCTCCGTAGCCTTTCAATGCTCATAGAGAATACAGATACGATGGTTTGAAAAATGGAAGAAACAAGGCCCTACAGATTAATGATGCTCCTGTAGTAAAACCATCTTTGTGTAGGGGTTGTGGGATATGTGCAAGTACATGGCAGAAAGCATAAGCAACAGTATTTTTTTTTCCTTTCTCCAAACAATAGGTGTCACTTTAAATTAGATTGTTTTTTTTCTACTTAGGCCTCAGATACAATTTTCTACTGAGCACTTCCTCCTTAAATTGTTCCTAAGCATTCACTTCTGGTGTGTTAAACAGACAAATTAATTACTAGCATTTTTGTATCAGTCCTATAATTTCATCTGTTCTCTTATTCAAGTGTTTATCTTGTGCTGACCTACACTTCATTGCTCTTACATTTATTCTTTGCTTGCCAGGTTGATAGTGGCACAGACTTTATGTCTTGCTCACTCTTCTGAAATCTTCTCGTTTTTAAACACTTCTCTAGATGCTTGGACTCATTGGAGAGATTCACCTTGCTACTTCTCACCTGTTCACCTGCTTTTGTAGAACTGCATTGTGGGAAAGTAGAAAAAAATTACCAACTGGTTTAGCTCAGGCCACTTCTAAAAATTAGGAAATATACAGGAATTGTTGAGTATCAGCACTTTCTGTGACGGATGATTAAGTTTTCTGGCTTGGTAAGCCACAAAAACCTTCTGGAGTGAGCAAACAGACTTTCCCATTTAAACCTTATACTTGGCAGGGCTCCAACAAACACAAAAAGATTAAAACTCTTGAGGATTTCTTCTGTAAGGGTTAATTAGCAGGCAGAGTTTGGAGCCAAAAACCTGGAAGGTTTGCAGATTCATAAAAAGAAACAAAAGCAAATGATGTTACAGAGGAAAAGCTGACCCACACTATTAAAAAATTCCCTTTCTCTTACTGCTATTAGCAAGCATAAAAAATTACAAGTGAAATTACTCTAGCCAGGCAAAGGAAGCAGCACTGGGCTTTTGCTGCTGAATACAAGAAATATATTATGTATTACATTTTATATTTTCAGAGGAGAACCACCTAGCCCTGTCACCTCTGATTTCATGACATGACTATTGTCTGACTCATACACAAGACAGCTTTGTCCCTTCAGGTCATTCTTGTTTCTAATGATCTTACATCTCCAGAGAATGGTATTTAGTTATAAACTGTTTTGCACATGATTCTACCAAAACAAAATACTGAGAAAAACAATGCATAAGAGGACAGATTGCTTTGAGCAAGACAGGACACTGAAAGGCCAGAAAAAAAAAGCCTTCGTTATATAGCTCTAGGTTAACTACTTTGGATACTTACTTTTGATTTTGGGTATACTGTTACTAGGAAAATACTGTTTAAAAAAGAAACTTCAGAGAAGGGCCAAACAGTGACTAAAGGACTGGAAAGACAATTTATGAATAAGGCAAAAAACCCTGAATACATAGATTTTTACTAAATTTAATTTTCCTTGACTTTCTGAAATGTTTAAACATAAAAATAAGCCACCTAAGTAAAAAAAAAAAGATAAAAAATATAAACCAATAAGCATGCCACTAGGAATTATTGATGGGAAACACAGGCTACACATCAAAGGAAAACATCTTTAACATCAAAAACTGTTAACCTGTGAAATTATCCTACAAGAAATGATGACTTCGCATCACTTGGGATACTCTTGGTTAGAAAGGACAATGTGATACTGGTAAAACTCTCCTCTAACTTAAAAGCCTTTTCTCCTCCTAGGAACCGTGACTGTAATGAGTTACCTTGAACAAGGTAATCAGTAGCTTCACTCTCCACCTCAGGACTGAGTTGCTTTGTTTTTTGAAGATATTTTAGGACAAAAACATTAGGAGCAAAATGGATCATGTTCTGCTCCCCACATCCAAACGGTAATCGCAAAAGATTGTCCAAGTTGTTCAGTGTGGGACCCATCACATCTCCTGTTTGAAAAAGAGAAAATATTTTCAGTATCAAGGAATTCCTTCTGATGTCTTACATTTAAACCCCACCTGACTACACTAATTTCTAGCTACACAGTCAGTTTAAATAAACTCTATCGTAAGTTGGAAGTCCTTCAAACATTAAGTCTTAGCCCTTCAAGATTGTCCTGGAATAAAGAAATTTCACATTTCAATTTGATTATCCATGACTCGCCAATTTAGACTACAAATTTAGAACACAATTAGCACACTTTGGGCTTATGATGATTATGAAATGAATACTATGAATTCTAACAGACAGGGCCTCTGCAAAGCCCTTGGATGGTATCAACTTTAAGTCACTGTCATCTTAAACAGGGTTCAAACAAGTGAAAAAATTTATTAATTACTTGTCTCAGAATTAAGCAGCATATACCTCTGTAAGCGCATAGGACTATCTTATCTGGTCTGTATTACTCAGACACTGTTCAGAAGCAGGTAACAACTGGAGTATCTCTTCACATTTGATAACTGGTACCTAGTGATACCTCCTCATGATTGATACCTATTATTGAAGCCGTAGCTCTTTCTGATCCTGGAATTATGTTGTGGGGAACTCCAAGAGTAAATGCTTCATTGTGATTTTCATCAGTCTCTTCTTTTCTCCAAATTTTAAACTCTCCCATGGACCCCCAGCCTGTGGAAAAGCCAATGTACTTCACCTCAAGCTGTTTGGGGACTGTCCACTCCACAATAATAGACTCATTTAGCACCCGAGTACCATGGCCAACCTGAAAGGAACAAAAAACCATGCAATTCCAAGAACCCACAGGTACGATGTCAGTTTGCCATGTGTCCTTGGACCCAGTAATTGTGTGTGCATCAGAAACACTGGAGATGGACCAGTACCTTTTACTTTCCCACCCACGAAACAATCCAAAGAAGCCTAATGAGAATTTCACAGACTTGCTCTCCAAGGCTTTGAGCACACTTAGCACTAAAAACATGAAAAACTGAGGTCCTGAGAACATAATGTGGCAAGCAGATATGTTCTGATTCAAACAGCCTGATGGAGACTTAGCAAAAACACAACAGGAAAGAAGCTTTCACCATCTACAACAAGCCTAATGAAAATCTGCTGCCTGTGTGCTCAAACTCTATGTAAGAAAGCAAGACTTCCAGACCATTACATAGATAAATTCACTACCTGGATAATTCCATTTTTCCAGCTGATCCAGAAGCTGCGGAATTCATCCCAGGACAGGATACCAGCTGTGTCCCTGCTGACCAACGGCTCACCCATTTTGCTTATGGAAATCCATGTTTTAGTATTTTGATGTCCACCAATAACAATCTCTGTCATCTCTGCCATGTCATGAGGACCAGAGGACAAGGCCAGGTGAGCATCATTGTGTGCTTTCACAGCAATGTCAAAGTGTGTCATCTGGGCAGGTTTCTGCATGTATTGGTATTCGTATTTGTTAGGTGTAGAAATGTGTATTTTCTCTAGTCAGAAAAATAATGGAATGCTGTAAGAATTGGAGCTTAACTCACATACTTAAAAAATAACCCATAGCTAACTGCTAAACTTTAAACAAACAGACCTTTCCCCAGTACATGTTCTTTTTTTCCAGCTTCTATTAAACAATCATAGTATATGTGCATGTTTCTTTCCATCTTCTGTTTATAACCCCTTCCAATATAGAAGATCCTTCAATTCAAACTGCTTAGCTGGATTTCTTACAAAGCCTGTAAGTGATTTTTCAGTTCTAATCTAGTGGTCAAAAGCATCTCTGTTTAGCTACTGAAGCCAACTTTGAGCCATTCAAATCCCAGGCAGAAAGAACACACTGATTCCAGAACTGAATTTGAAAACATCAACTGAAAATATAGCACAGTCACAGTTACTGTCCACAGTGCTGAATACTTAAACTGTTCCATAAAGTAAAGGAATTTAATTGCCATTTCCAGAAATCACTTGGGCAGTTAAAGCAAATTCATAATTAGCCAGCCAGGTAAGAAAGACTCTTTATTCAAAAGTTCCTCCTACACACCATAACTCATCAATCATAGAGACATGGAAACAAAGATTTTTTTTATTTTTTTTTCATTAGATGAAGCCACATGTTTCTATTTATAACTAAAAACAAACAAACTTAATATCTCATTCAAATAATAAACTTACCATTTGGGCAGAAGAACACACTATAGGTGTATTCTCTGGACAGTCCCTCTGGCTACGTAAAGACAGAAATCCATACATAAAAATACAGTGCTTTGGTTAGCATTAACAGCTATTCAGTTTTACTTACAAAATATAGAAATAACATTCTGCTGCTGCACAGTGTTTTATATCCTTTATAGAAAGGTTATTACACTGTATTCTGTTAGCTAGAGATATGCTAAGCTCTAGAGTGAATCTCACATCATGGCATACTTCTTAGATTAACAGAGCACTCTTATCTGATAAAATTTCTATCCCTTTTTCTTCTGAACAGTATTGAAGATAAACCAGCATGAACTCAGAATCAAATGGGCTTTTTCTGTACATGTATCACCAAAACTGATTATTTTCAATCACGTAAGCATAACAAATCAACTTGAAGATTCTTACAAACCTATTCGCATTTGATTAACTACCTAAAAACTTTAATGATTTGCCTAAACATTTATCATTTTTTTCTAAATTGTTACAAATTCGTATTTCCTTACCTCAATAATAACACTACTGCGAACATAATCCGCTCCCACTGGGGTCCTTTTGTCCATATAATTGTCCTCTGAGTGCTTGCCATTCTTTAAGGTCTGCATCCCATCCTGACAGCAGTTAGTTCCACCGTAAGCAAAAGCTTTTGCTAAGAAATAGAAGGGGAAAGGAGCAGATTTTGAGACAGGAAGATCTTCAGGAGTTCACGTAAAGATCACATGAAGATCTAAAGTAATTAGATACAGTTTATTAACAAAACATCAAGTGTTTCATAATTACAGCTCTCTATTACCTTTATTCTGTATTTGAACAGTCACATCTAAACCTCAACAATATTTGGTCAGTCATGGGGCAACAGAGAAACTCTTTTCTAGTTTCCAGTGTTGCACAATTTTTACAGTCACTATTTGCTTGAAAGATGGACAGAATTTGTTGTTATTCTAATTTAAAAATTCCCACTAATCTCTTCAGGGAGATGTAACGGGTCCAAATCTTACACGACCACATTTCACACAACAGGAAAACTGATGACTATGGAATCTCCTGAAGTCTGTTCATGCAGACTTTTCAGTGCATTACAGCTATAAAATTTTACTTCTAAGAAACAAATGAAGTTGAAAATTGAAATGAATTATTCCACTTTTGGGTAATGAGGGAAATAAGAATTTTCTTCTGAAAGAAGAATAAAAAGAAAGACTCGTAAAACTCTTTCAAGCAGCAAGCTATTTTTATTTCTATACTACCAGTGATGTTGCTCAGTCCAAGCTCATTGAAGGACAAAACGACAGAGGTGGGTTTAGCTTCCCCAGGGGCAACGCACTTCTTTCTGGTCAGATGGTGTTTCCCAGGATGCCCAACAAACTTAATGCCTTTTGGAACAGAAATCTTCACGTGGACCTGTGAACATTTTTGAATGTCATTTATTGCAAATTTCAGCTGCAAAACCAATAAATATATATAAAAACCTGAAAACCACAGAATTATTAATAAAATAATAGTATGCACAGATGATTCATTCTTCAAACCTTCTCGTAATATATTTGAGGGATAGCATTACTTTCAGCTCAGCAATTCTACAAGTAGTTCAGAACGATAGTACTGGAGGTAGACAGATAATGAGTTTGAGAAGAAAACATCTAGGGATAGAGGATTTCTGTATCTATTATCCCTATACCTTATCTACTGTAAATTGGAGACCACTTAGGAAATTTTGATACAAAACCAGAATTTAGTGAGTTAGCAACAGGAATAAAGAGGGCTGTTACCTCTACACAGACAGCTAAGTAATTGTAGACAGTCAATGGGATTTTGGTCTGTTCTCCCCGGATGACGTGGTACGGTAGGGTGAAATCGATGAAGAAAGGTTTGAATGTCTTCAGTTCTGTCTGACTGGCAATGCCCAGCCCCTTCTCTTCAGACAGACCCACAGCTTCAGTTATCCACGTAGTGATAGAGTCTGGCACTTCCACGTGCAGCTGTGCTTCTCCCGATGCATTACTACCAAAGAGAAAATAGAATAATTTGGGTTGATCAGATTAATTAAATGCTTTTGGATGAAGTTAAATCACACACGCCAAACATTTTGGGGAATTCCCTCCATACCCAAACTTACAACATAGCATCAGGGCCTGCTTTGAACAACAGCTCATAAAAGGCTCAATGTTTTCTATCAGTTTTTGAGACCTACACACATTGATAAGGAGCAGAACAGCAAGTAGTTGCTTCTGCAAAACACAGTCTAACAAATTCTTACTAGATTAAAAGCTTTACAGGCATTTGCAGCCTCATTATAGAGTCACTTTTCTTACAGACAAATGTTTGCGCTAAGTCAAAAAATAAAAAAGAACCCTAGGCTGAGGTCCTGGATAAAAACCATTTAGCAATAATTTACTTAACAGCTACCAAAATAAAAGTAACTTTAGTTGGAACCCATTGTCCTCGTATACACTGACACACTGCAGTCTCTGCTTGAACATAAGGGCAAATGAGAAATTTTCTACACACCAAGTTCAGCAACTGCTTGTCCAGAGGAGTGTATTTTAATTCAAAAACATTTTGGTTGGTTGGTTTTCAGAATGCCCGACTCAGAAAATTTCCAAAAATGTAATTTTCTTCTAATGAGAATTGAAAGTAATTATTAAAAAGAAAATTTCTGGTTTGAGTATTTAGCTTTACTGTGCATACCATAACAGGCTATCATAAACCTGGTATCCTCTTCCATGCTTTATAAGAATAGAAATTCAATTTTGCTCTGCAGACTTTGCTATTTCCCTCCTGCAAAGCAGCTTTGGCCTTGCCTGGAACAGAAAACATTTCCTCTACAGCAAGAACAAAAGCTATTTCATGGCTCAACTGGCAAGATGATTGGTGCAGTTATGAGTACACCCTAAGGTTGTTTTCTCTCAAGTTCTTATTTATTTCCCAGAGCTTGATACACACTCTCCTAGCTCTGTAATCTTTTGAGAGCAACATGCATCTTGGTTGGCATGGAAAACGGGAAAGCAAGATGTTCAGAATAAGCTCAAGCGTACAGCACAGCACGCTGTCTTTCCACGCCGCAGTATGTCCTGATTCATATCCAGGACAAACTGAAGAATTGAGCCTTCACTGCTTTTCAGCTGAAGGTTATTCACATTTTAGGCACCAATGAAGTGTCTTTATTTTCAGCTCCTAAATCAACTGTAATTTTCAATGAGCCTAAGCTCTTGTAACTGTCAGTAAGTAGGCAGCGTATCATGTACTGATCTGCATAATCATATTGCAGTAGGAAAAGGATTATAAAAAAGTTTGATACAAAACTATTGATCGCTCTGCCTTTGCACAGGCATGCTAGGTTCGGTCAGTCTCCAAGCACTCCGTCTGGTGAATGTGGTTCCACAGCTCAAACTACAGAGTGGAGGCTCTGGGAAATGCACTTGGCTTGATAGCACCAAGTTATTTTAACTTCTTTTTAGTGTGCTAGTTACTTAATACTTAGGTCTTCATCCCAGCTGGAGTTAGTTGGTACCTGCAATAAACTTCAGCCCTGAAGAGTAAGCAGAAGGGTGTCCTAGCTCCAGAACTGGCAGCATTCCAGTCTGTTTAACCGGACAATTTGTTGCAGCTGATGTTCTTTCCACTGGGATTTCAGCCCATAACCAGCATTAACATTATTTTCACACATGAGGGCACTTACTCTTCTGGGCGGGGGGCCAAAGTACACACACATTTCCAGCCATTAGACCCTCCAGCCAGGCTCTAGGAATTTTTAGAATTGGTTTGGGAAGTTGACATTAGTCTTTTGTTTCTTTTTTTTTTTGAGAATTGTATATTATAATTATTAATGGTAGAAGAAAATAAAAATTCTTCCTGTTCAAGAGAGTGGAAATCAAAGAATGCTCAGCTCAGTTGTTTCTAATGAAATGAAGTGGAGAAAATGCAATCTGCAACTTTTTATTCCACACTCTCCCACTTATAATTAACTGCTCCAGCTTGCTGAGGCCCAAATGGGCACTTCTGGAATTCTTTGTGTATTTCTACAAAGCATATTTCATGCTCAATTGAACAGATTTGAATACACTTGCTGCAAGTTCCTGTCAAATTTAATTTATAATCATTTATTGAGAATGAAGTTTACTAGCAAACCTGGAGAAGCCTTTTAAAAATTGCTTCAAATTATCCTAGATGTGCTGTTTCTGGGAGAGATTAGTTACCTGCTCATTCTTTTTCTTCAGTTCCAGTTGTACCAGGTGCAAACCATGATTTATTGGGCAGTAAATTAAGGTTCAGAGGAGATGCTCTTGCATCAGATGAAAGAGAAAGAAGGGCTCTGTGCAATTTAAAAAGCGATCAATACAGAACGCTCACCAGTGCGTGGTTAAGCTATACCAGCTTTTACAGAAGCAGCTATTCCGCCTCCATCTCCTCACACATTAATTACTCTGAGATCATTTTCCCACTAAAGCACATGCAGAAATTGATGCTAGAACAAGTGAATACACTTCAAGACCAGATGAAATGTTACAAAGTAAGATTATTGATTAAAGCAGTAATGAAGAAAAGAAACAACAAC